TCGGGTATCATTATAACCTTCTGCATCATCGCCGTCTGACTGTCACGCTCATCAATTGTCAACTTTGCACCTTAGTCCTGCTTCAAGAACAATTCCAGCACTCCAACCATCCTCTCTTTCCTAGCTGCCTTGTCCTTCTCCTTTCCCCCGTCCTTCCATTTGACCAAGCATTCCGCAAAGACGACAGCATAGTTCCTCACAATAAGCTGTCGAATAGCGACTTCCGGCACCTTACTTAGTGTCTTCCTTCTAACCTTTGCTTGGGGGCTGGACGGAAGGCTCATGTCTACGCTTGCTCTCTTGCTGCTATCCTCTGGGCGCGGTTTTGACACCTCGGTGATCTGATTCGCGATATTCTGGAGGAAGGATAGTATGAGGAGGAAGGTAGCGTTGTGGTTGGGCGCTGTTGCCAACACCTCTAGGATGGTCATCTTCTCATCATCAGTGGAGTAGTCGAGAGATGGTGTAGTTCTCGCAGCCTTCTCGCGGCGAGCTAACGCTTCTTCCAACTTCTCCCACAGGCTCTTAGTAATCACGCCGTCGGTGAGGCTAGTCAGAAAGGTAATGAGGGCTTCGGCCAACATCTCAACGCGCTCTTTACTGCGGGTCTCTGGATAAAACGCATCGATGAATGGCGTATCGCAGTCGAGCGCGTCGTAGATTTCTGCGAGCTCGTCTTCCCAATCATATCCGCTGCCACTCCGACCCTTGACAAAAGGCCACCCTGCATTATCCTGCCAAGGTGCCCTCTCTCCTTCACTCTTGGTCATGTCCCACTCGGCTAGGGTTCGCTCCGTCAAGTCTTCTATCGCCTCGGTCAGCCGGAATACTTCCCTAGGCACGCTCCATTTTACCTCGCCACGGGCTGGTATCTGATTCTGTAGTTTCCTGATACCGCCTTCGGGAATCTTGATCAGCTTGTCGATAGATCGTGCGAGTGCCGACGGTTGCCAATGAGCGCGGATAGGAAGGAAGTGGTCGCGTCCATTTTCAACGCGTAGGACGAGGATTTCGTCAATCATAGCATCCCCTTCATTGAGATCGCGCACTGAATTCAGACTCTCGATCTTGAGTTTTAGCTCGACATTGAGCACGTCTGCAGGAGCGAGTGTGAAGTATTGATGAATGTCGTCTGGCCTTGGCTTATCGAGCTTGTCTTGTGCTTTGTCGAAAGTGACAGAGAGCCAAGGGGGGAACGGGCCAGCAGGTTGGTTTTTATCTACCGGGCGATCGGCGAATCCAAAGGTAGCTGGTACACGTCCAGTATTTGCAATGGTGATGTTGCGTCTCGAGGACTTTGCGAATTTGACGTCACCGAAATCTACTCCTTCAAATGTGCTATCTGTTTTGTTCCGATCGTCGGGCGAAGAACCGGTCGCGCGTTCTACTACTACCGCAATCGACGGCCGACCCTCGTTTTCTTGACGGTCAATCTCACGAGCCACCTCACCATGGATAGCAGTCTTCAGCTCCGGAACGACAGCATCGTATTGTAACTTGAAGACTGCATCCAAGGGCTTGTGATCGGAACTGAGGACGCGCATGTGGGTGGTGTAGTACTCGAGTAGCAGCTCAGCCTAAACGATAGCAGTCAGTCAATTGTTTCTTCCAACACTAAGAGCTAGGAACAGTGCAGTAAACTTACAGGAAGATCATCCCTTGTTTTGATTGGCTCAGGCTCAGGGTCTTCATTTTCCTCGTACTCGTCGTATGTCTCCCCATCAGTGTCAGGGTCGTACTCATACATGACATCGTAGTCTCCTGGTACGTCGATACCCTTCAACTTCATCTCTTCATCGTGTTTGCGCGCTGCTTCTTGATCCTCTATCCGCCTGTCATATTGCTGTTTGGATGCTCGTGTCCTGTAGAGGATGCGATCGCACCAACTGGGACAGCGGCGCTTCTCGCTTGAGTCGAAAACGCCAACTTTTCCGATGTCGTACTTATAGGACGGTAGGAACCGGACAGGGCCCTCTTCCCACCCATCGTGGAAAGCCTTGCCGCCTTTCATCATCTGGTGCAATTCGTCGTGCGGGAGCAACGACGAGATGGTGGTTTGCAGTGAAGCGGGATCGAGTTCTGCTGGCTCGGGAACGGCGTCGCGCGTATCCTCAGACGAGTGCTTTGAGCCATATGCGGAATCACCAGATGTAGACGACCGACCATGGTCTCCTTCTTTGTCCATGTCTTTTGTGTGAATCGTGAGCAGGCGACGCACGTCGTCGCCCGGCATACCGTTGAGACGATAATTTAGGTCGCCGAACCAAAAGGCAAAGTCTTCTTCACCCAGACCCTCACCTGTGTTTTGCGAAGATCCCAAGGCGTCAACGATGGGGTCGAAGCGCGTTCGGGAGTTGATCTGAGCAGCGTCCCAATTCCTCCTGTCCAAGGATGCCTTGTCTGCACCAGCAGCCAGGTGCGAGTTTATGAAGACAAGTCGTGTCGTCTCTCCCAAGACTATGCGGGTTGTTACAGCACCCTTGTTGCCCATGTAGCCCATCAAGCCAGTACCCACGCTGGTGGTACTAACATTCTTGATCTGCGGTACGACTTCTGGGGAGGCATAGATGACCAGCCATAGGCCAATCAGCTGCTGCTCGGAAACCAGCTGATAACCTTTGGGTAGAATAGCCTCGAGCGACGCTTTCCATTTGTTGGCCGTGGTGGGGTCGGTGTACGGTCTCAGAGCCTCTGCGGCGGATGTGATGTCGACAATCTCCTGCAGACCAAGCGCATAGATATCGATGTCCTGTCCGCCCGGGACCTCGCCTGCTTCGTGGTGAGGGACAGTCGGCTCGCGCGTGCTATGTCGTGCTTCTTGCGCTGGAACGCTCTCTCTGCCGCCCTTGCCGTGCTCCCCAGGGTCAGACACGCCGAGCCCAGCGAGCGACTCTTCAATGCCCTTGCCCTGGACGAACCACTTGCCAATGTCCTGCTCGGTGCCCTTTTGGGCGCCCGTGTTCCAGGTGCCGACTTTGATGCGCACATTGCGCGGTCGCGTGTATTCGGCGCGGCGCTCGTAGAGGGCTTGCGAGAGGGACGTCTGGTGCGTGGTGATGGAAGCTATACTCGGAGTGCGCGGATCAAGGAAAGCGCCAGGGATACTCGCATCCAGGCGCTCGGTGGAGCGCACAGAAGAGGCTGCTTCGGGCGCCATGGCGGGGTGAGGGCAGAAGGATGGCGGCGGGTGCGGGTGACGGAGAGGTGCCGGGGGTTTGCAGGGAGGGGATGCAGGGTCTGCGTGAGTGAAGGCGCGGGCGCCCCATAGTGACGACTTGGTGCGATTAAGCGGGCAGTTGAGCCACAGGCCGCTGTTAGCAATGACGATGGTGAAGGCGCGGACAGGCCCAGGGCTAGGGCTATGCTATGGCGGTGCGTTGACAGGCCCAAGCTTTCCTCGACATGCCGCGCAGGCTGCATGCAGGAGCTCTCCCACTGCCCCAAACCCACTCGCGGCCCATTCTCCTTCACCACCACCATATCCTCAACCAGACATGGCGCCACACCGCAAAGCCCGCGCGAACCAGCCCCAGCCGCCGCCACAGCCGTCAGACTACGAGACAGACGCGCCGCCTGCCGTCGACGTGCCCCTCCCACCTCCGCGGTCCAACGAAGAGCTCAACTTCTCCGTCCTCCGTCGCCAGTACGCCGATCTGCTATCCATCGAGCATGTCACTCCGTATGCCGCCCTGTATACCTTCAACCTTGAAACGCAGTCATGGGAGAAGATGGGCATTGAGGGCACGCTCTTCATCTGCCAGCTCACCCCCTCACCCATTGGCGCTGAGCGATACTGCGCCATTATCCTCAACCGCCGCGGCCTAGACAACTTTTACCAGGAGCTCACAAGCAGCGAAGAGATGGAGATATCAGACCCTTATGTCATCATCCAGGGCGAGCAGGTCTACGGCATCTGGATCTTCGCCGACCCGCCGCCCGCCTCCACCGCCAACTGCCGTGTCGAGACTGCCGCAAAGATGATGGATATTGCCGACAAGGCAAGAGCGAGTCGCGAAGCCCTTGAGCCCACTGCCAAGGCGACCGAACCCGCCGAAGCCGCGTCCTCCGCTCCCATGGGTCGCCAACTGTCGCTGCGAGAACTCTTCGGTCAACAGCGCGAGCAAGACGCCGGCTTCAGCATCCACAACCACAACACCCACCCTATGCCCAGCATGCATCAGCAGCAGCAAGGATACATGCCGAGTCCTGGCCCAGCGCAAAACGATGTGCTAGGTCAGCTCTTCATGAAGGCAAAGCAGAATCACAACGGCCTGGGCTGATGTGACTTCATGCCAGGTGCCGTACGACGGAGATCGTCAGGACTCGACGCCCTCAGCAGACTGGATCAGCAGTCATCAAGGAGCGCTTCCGGCCATACAACCAATACGCAAGAATGCTCTGCAAAGTGCGAGCATGACGGATGGTCGTCTGTCGTCGGCTACCTTCTTTACGATATCACATGGATGTTGTTGAGATCCGTCTCCATCTCCATGCTCTACTGGTTTGCGACGCACGAGGAGAGCACAAGGCGGCAGATCATCTATATCCTTGTTTCTGTGCAGATACTCCAGCTTGACGCGAGCCTAAAGGACTATTGGTATGGTTCTCTGAAGAAAGGCTGCAGGTGTAAATGCAGATGCAAGCAGTCTTCTGGACGACTGCACAAAGGTAGATCCATCGTCGTGTAGACATGGAGTTTGTGTTGCCATACTATGCAGCGCGCAATCTTGCGTGTGTACATCATTCTTAGATCGATACCCCGTAGTCTGGTTTGTTCTCCAATGGAATGCGATACGTCAATTGAAAGCCAGGTTCTTATGACCTACTATAGTAACACCGCCACTTCGTAGTTGGCAAGGGAACTGGTAGGGCTGAGGGTGACCTCACACTCCCGCTGATCCCTGCACGCTTACCCCACGGCGGGGTTCCGCTTCCGCTCCCAAAAATTTCCAGTCGCAAACATCTTCAAGATACGACTGGACCTTCATATAGCAAACACAATGTCTGAATCTCTCCGCGTTCTACTTGTCGGCAACGGCGGCCGCGAACATGCCATCGCCTGGAAACTCCTACAATCGCCCAAGATCGAGCACATTTACGTCTGCCCCGGTAACGGCGGTACCGCGACGCTGAACAGCAAAGTCACCAACGTAACAGATGTAAAGGACACCGACCTTGCCGGTCTCGTCAACTTCGCAAAGGAGAAGAATGTCAACTTGTTAATACCAGGACCTGAAGCACCACTCGTAGCAGGCATTGTCGACTACTTCCAGGAGAATGGTCTCAAGAGCATCAAGGCGTTTGGACCAAGCAAGGCTGCCGCACGTATGGAGGGCAGCAAGACATTCAGCAAGGACTTTATGAAGCGACACAACATCCCCACCGCCGCGTACGAGAACTTCAGTAAATACGACGACGCAAAAGCGTACCTCGACTCCATCTCACACAACGTCGTCATCAAGGCTTCGGGTCTGGCAGCAGGCAAGGGTGTCATCATACCACAGACCAAAGAGGAGGCACATGCGGCGCTCAAAGACATCATGCTGACACGAGAATTCGGAACTGCGGGTGACGAGGTTGTCATTGAGGAGTTTTTGGAGGGCGACGAACTATCAATCCTTACGTTCAGCGATGGCCGCACGATCAAGTCCCTACCACCAGCACAAGACCACAAGCGTATCTTCGACAACGACGAGGGACCGAACACTGGAGGAATGGGAACGTACGCGCCAACACGCATCGCGCCCAAGGACGTACTCGAGCGCGTAGACAGGGACATCCTCCAGCCCACCGTTGATGGCATGCGATCCGAAGGTTTTGAGTTCAAGGGTGTACTATTCACTGGACTTATGATGACCAAGAACGGACCCAAGGTATTGGAATACAACGTTCGTTTCGGCGATCCAGAGACACAGAGTTTACTCGCGCTCATGGAAGGCGATCTTGCTGAAGTCATGGCTGCATGTGCAGACGGACAGTTGAAGGATGTGGACGTCAAAGTCTCGAGCAAGAGTGCGGCGACGGTTGTTGTAGCTGCAGGTGGATACCCTGGAAGCTACGCAAAGGGCACAGTCATGAAGTTGGATGCTGTGCCAGAGGGTGAGTTTTCTCTTGCATTCGATGATGGAGTCGAGTGACCATGCTGACACGGTACAGATGTCGTTCTTTTCCACGCTGGAACTTCTTTCTCCGACAACACACTCAAAACAGCTGGTGGTCGCGTCATCGCATCGACAGCCACTGCGCCGACACTGGAGGAGGCTGTTGCGAAGGCTTACAAGGGCGTGGAGTGCATACACTTTGACGGCATGCAGTACCGCAAGGATATCGCGGGCCGAGCACTGAAGAAGTAGAGAGAATCCAAGGAAATTATATGGCGTTCAAGGCGGGCATACCAGAGACTTGCGGTCAAAAGAGAAGATGCGCGTAACACGCTAGGTTATAGTCGGGCATTCGATGGATGACGAGAATACAATCTTTCATGTTTGAGCTATACTACGGGCTACCGAGACTTTGATTGCAGTGTACCTGCCCATCGATTTAGCTCAAAAGCAGATAAGGTAGCCTATACGCTCCGGTAAAACACGATGTCTTCCTAGACACATGTTGGTTGGAGGGCATTACCTTGCAGCTACTCAGCTTCTCAACGATAGAACGTGCCGCGATAGACGGAGAGTCGAATAGCCGGCAAAACTGTTGACGGGTATCGTCAAAACATCAATTAGAAGAAGAAGTCTTGATGGCTACCTACCTACCTACCTGGCCATCGTCTACTTGAAACATCTCTCGGGTCACCTAAAAGAATTGATATCCTTAGCAAGGCTCTGCTCAAGGACATTCGTGGATGCGATCTAGGAACTGTCATCATCAGTTGCGGCTGTGCGCTTTTTCTCCTTCTTTTCTTTCTTGTGCTTCTTCTTCTCGTGTAAGGTATCGTCTTCTTCCTTTTTCCGCTTCTTTTCACTGTTACCCTGTTCGTCTGACACTTCTGCTTTACCATTTGACTCTTTGGGATTAAGGGTCGCTTGCTGCTCAGTGCCCCCTGCAGCATTTTCCTTCTCCTCTTGCTCTTTCAGCCGTGCCGCTCTCAGCTCATTCTTTTGCCGTACAGCGTCCTGCAAGACCGGACCGTTCCGCTTCAGGGCATCGGCAGCCGCGGCAACACCGGCTTGCACTTTGTTCTGGCCATCGCCGCTCCCGAGCCATTCATCCTTGTAGCCCCACCCAGTAAGGTAGATGCCGATATGGTAGCACTGCACGCTGTTGGAGTCGTATGTCATAGGCCTCTCCTCTTTGGTAAGGAGCTTGACGCCTTTGCCGAGCACAAGCTTGTTCAGTTCGTCTCTAGCCTGAGGGTTCTCGATAATCTTCTCCCTGAAGCCTAGGAGTTGTGGTGCCCAGAGCTCAGTAAGCCATGCTTCGGCGGCCTCGAATCCGTTCTCTGGGTCTGATAGCACGACGGCTGCAACATAGGCTTCGACGATGTCGGCGACTACCTTCTGGTATTGCTTGGAGTTCTTGTCCCACACAGCGCGGTGCTTCAGTCGGTCTGGAAAGCCGTAGGCGTTGGAGAACTTGCCCAGGGTCACATTCTCGACTAGTCGTTCGCGCCACATGCATAGCTCTGGCACGTCGACATGTGGGAAGCGGTTGTAGAGGGCGCGGGAGGCGATGAGTTCGATATAGGCGTCGCCTAGTAGTTCGAGTCGTTCGTAGTCTAGACTGAGGTCCTCGCCGAGCGTTGAGCCTGGAATGCTGGGATCGAAGATGGCGGAGCGATGAGTGAAAACGGCTTCGTGGAGATGGGGTTCATTGATGGGCGGTAGGGGAGGCAGATCTTGGGCGACTCGTACTTTTCGCTCGACGTAATCGGGTATGGCGACCTTGACTGCCTTGTCAGGCCTCTTTTGGTCAAGCTCGCGCTTCGCTTTGGCAGAGGCTGAATCGTTTCGGGCGCAGAGCAGTCGGCGCAGTTGGTGCGCATGGTGGAGCATGTCTTTATCTGCACCCATGGTAGTTTCATCGGCGACAAACCTGTCCAACAGAGCTACCAGGCCCGTCTGCATGTCTTTCGAAGACAGCTCAGGCGCCGATGGGTTAGTGTTGTAGCCTGCGCCATTGCGATGCTGAGGCTGGTGCTTCTTGTGATTTTGGTCGCGACCGTAGTGATTGAAGCCTCCGCCACGTTTCTGCGATGCCATGGTGAAGTTGAGCAATTAAGCTATGGGTGTGGTTTTGGTCGCAGTCTCGAGTGGTGAGCGTTGGTGACATCTTCAGCCGCGCTAGTCGCGAGCGCCAAGGGCACCTCCGCGACATTTCAGATTCGCCGCAACGCTGCAGTCCAGCATCGCATTCACCATGGCAGTACCACGGCAGCGGGTATTGGACCTGATGAGGGTAGGTGACGCCTGCTCCAAGGACATTGTGCTCGGCGCACTGACTGGATTAGGTTCAATGCAAGGTCTTCAACACCACATACAACCCCGAACGCCTTCGTCTGGGATCGCGCATCCTCCACCAGCGCCTCAAGGGCCCCGCCGTCGCATCCTACTACCCACCGCGGATAGGAACCATCAGCCAGTTGCGCAGCCTGTACCCCGAACACCAGATTATCGACGAAGAGGAGGAAGACTGGTTGGAGCATCTCAACGTTGCAAAGTCGAGAGGAAAGGGTGCGCCCAAGAAGAAGAGGACCGCCGCCGGTAAGACCCATGTCTTGGAGACGCATCTTGCGAGAGATACTGACCCAGTGCAGAGTCCAAGAAGTTCAACAAGAGGAAGTAGGCCAATGCTTCGCAATACCGCTTTTGGCCATAGTCATGATGAATCAAATATCCAGAATGCATGTCTCGGCGTTGGGCCTGGGCAACTTCATCATATTTTGCTTTTCACTTCTTTCATGCCCTTCGCTTTCCATTCCCTCGCGAATTCTTCATCCCACGCTGTTCTTACATCTAGATGCTCTTTGACCACAGGCGCATTCACTTTATGGTGCTCCACTGTGCAGTATGTTGTCTTGCCATCCAGGCTGGTCATGTCGCCTCGGATCATAGCCATCTGCTTGCCCACACTTACCACTCTGCTATTGAGTCGCACCCTGGTGTTGATGGGCACCGCCTTAAGATAGGAGATGTTGAGAGAACGAGTTACGCCGCCCATGAATTCCCAGAACCCAGGCCGAGCAAGAGGACAAAGAGCCGTCGTCGTGGACATGTCGAATATAACACCGGCGGCGCCTCCATGCATAACATCTACTGCACTTCAGTTCCAAGTTGTCATAGTACCCGAGGAACAGCACCTACTGTTCAAGTTCGAAAAGTTGGGCCCAATGACGAGTTCATAAGTAACTGTACCATCGAGGCTTGCATCCACGAGCTCCAGATTCAACATGACTTCTCGGTCAAAGTCCTAGACATGATCAATGACAGTTCTTCCATTGACCTGAGTAGTTTCATACGACATGGTTCTTGGGCCTGCGGGCTGCAAGCAACTTGTACTTTTCGAACATTGCATGTACGGCCGCCATTGCCTTTTGCCGATTTGTTTGTTGGTCGCCCATGGTGGATTCGGGACTAAAGAGAATCTGGTTGAGACTACCCCGACTATGAAGAGGCTCGTTCCGCTTGGGCGGTGGGTGTAGGGAGTACCTTAGGGTGCTTGCGGTGATCTCCGTTGGTAATCCAATAGTATGAATCACAGCGTATGCTTTGGGGATACGTCGTCGCGTTAGTGATCTGAATCAAGACAACGAGCTTCTCCGTAGACCATTTGGAATGTCGGGAGACTCCCCGTTTACAACCAAACTATTGGCGTAGTCGGGTGATGCTGCGGATTGATGATCGACATGAAGCTACACATTGCCTCGGCTTCTCAACTTGAGCTTCCCGCCCAGGGCACCTGCTCAGGCCATCGTACGCTCGCAAAAGCCATTTCTCCTATTCACGACATGCCCACACAATGACTCTTGAACATGTGGGCTTCAGTGCCTTGGTCGCCTCATATACTTCCTTGTGTTGTTTCATGTATGTGGTTCGTGCCCACATGTTCCACCTCGCGCTCGCGCCTGTTTCACAAACGGAGCCACAGGCGAACGGCCAAACCTCGTCATGACCCGAATACACTTCGGCGCTTGCCACCAATGACTATAACTCGCAACCTGTTCTATTTCTAGTCAATCATTAGATGAGGGCTTGCAGTCCGAGCTGACCTAGACCTTGCCCCCTCCATCCGATCGCTGCGCTGCTTTTAACCAGACAGCTGCCGCCGATTACTTGTGTCCACATCTCCATTCGCTACTTCGGGGCTCTTGCGACTGGGCTGGATAACCATCGCACATCTTCAACATGGGATCCGAAACGACACCGGTGTCTGCGACTCTGCGAAAGAGGGTCTTGAAAGTGCTGTTCATTTCGCTGCTGCTAGACTTGGTACGTCATCCTCCGTCGCGTGTAACCGCTCGCGTGGGCTGACCACCCCTTACATGCAGATATCCTTCACCTTCATCCTTCCGCTGTTTCCCAAACTTATCGAATTCTACCGCAACCATGAGACGGGAGATCCCAACACCATCCTTTCCAAGATTCTCGCTGGGCTCAATGCATACAAGAACTCTTTCGCGAAACCTATCAACTCCCGCTACGACATAGTCCTGCTCGGCGGCGCACTCGGATCGCTGTTCTCTCTGTGTCAGGCTATCGCTTCGCCCTTCATCGGGACGCTCTCAGACAAATATGGCAGGCGCACAGCGCTTCTGTGGTCTATGGTGGGCAATATCTTCAGCGTAGCGCTGTGGGTTGCAGCGACCGATTTCCGGACGTTCCTTGCCAGTCGCGTTGTGGGAGGCCTGAGCGAGGGCAATGTGCAGCTTGCAATGGCTATTGCGACCGACATTAGCGACGACAGCCAGAGAGGCGCGACCATGGCCCTTGTCGGCGTGTGCTTCAGCATCGCCTTCACGTTCGGCCCGGCGTTAGGCGCATACCTGTCCACATTGCAGGTCATGGACAAGAACCCATTTGCCATGGCAGCAGGCTTCTCTTTATTCCTGATCATCTCGGAGACCATCTACCTGTACACCAGTCTCCCGGAGACGCTGCCTTCGGCGAACAAGGCTCAGAACGGCACAGCAAACGGACATGACAAAAGCAGTGAAGCACCGAAACCTCGTGTCCGAACGAACTCGCATTATCTACTCAACGCGACACATTTTACTTTTATCCTCTTCTTCAGCGGCATGGAATTCTCGCTCCCGTTTATGACTTACGATCTCTTCTCTTATCAGGCGAAGGACTCTGGTCGATTACTTGGTTTTATTGGCCTGGTTGCTTCCCTACTACAAGGGTCGGTAGTGCGGCGGATGCACCCTCTGAAGGTGGTTCAGATGGGAGTGGTCAGCTGTACAATCGCGTTTCTTATGCTTGGAAGGGTTCAGACACAGGGCGCACTGTATGGAGCGGCCGCACTTCTTGCGGTAACGAGCGCGACTGTCGTCACTGGTCTCAACAGTCTCTCGTCTTTTGAGGCGAACGCCGATGAGCGAGGCAATAAGCTGGGCAATCATCGAAGCTTCGGTAAGTCAAAGTATCGCGCCACTCAAACTGTCTGCTGACGTGAGCCAGGTCAAATCGGTCGTTCTCTAGGACCTCTCATCTTCTGCACTTTGTACTGGTGGACGGGCCGCGAAACAGCATATGCAACCGGAGCCGCCGGCATGGTCGGAGTCTGTGCATTGGTATTTGGAGGGCTGAAAGTTCCCCCTGGAACGGAAAATATCAACAAGAAGGAGAAGAAGACGGTCAGGTAGGATAACGACAGCAGCCAGTCAGGATACATGTGGAAGATACAGCAAGGACGCATTCTTCGCTGGAAACCATGCGCTGCAATTGTATCATAATATCACGAAACTCATACGTGAGCATATGCGCTTTCCCGCTTGAGAAAGGATCTCTTTCAGTGTGCTGCCATGCAAGGATAGCTCGGTCTGACGCTGTCGAAGTCATGATCGGCAATATGCCCTCTTGTCGCCGTCGAAAACCACTCCAACAAGCTCATGTAGAACAAGCTCGCCCTCTGGAAGCCTCGCTCCAAGTCTCGCAAATAATTACCCAAAGACATGTAACCGACGTACAATCAATTGTCCGACGCGCTAGGTCACCCCGCACTCACTACGCGTCGTGGCGTCAAGCTGTATCCACAGTACTGACTCGAACCTCGGCATCTCATTAGCTCCATGCCCAGCAGTAGGACCGACGACGGGCAATTGTGAAGATCATAGCCAAACATTGAACTTTCTCCTTAACCTGTAGCTTCTCTCTTCCTGTCCTGCGCTCTCCCTGCAACCTTACATCCTACTGAAAACAGAAAAAAGAAGATTCTACTCAAGCAAACATGGATGCAACGGCGGCCGCTGCATCTGTGGCAGCTATTTCCGGGCTAGCAGCATACGTCAACGGCAAATACCACATTGGACAGGATCTGAGGGCACTGAGGTTTAAGAAGAGAGCGGCTGGCTACTATGAGGAACTAGGTATGTATCATCCTCCATCAGCTATACTTGATCGTATGGCATACGTAATGTCCCTTCTCGAAGCTAAATCAATACAGTAAGGACTAAACGGCAATCCCTGTGGTACTCCTTTGCTCCGCATGTCCCGGTTTACAGTAACAATCAATGTATCTGGTCCCGCGACAGAACTTACACCTGGCAACAAGTTCACGATCGCGCCGTCCAATGGGGAAACTTCTTTTTGTCACAAGGCGTGAAACCTGGAGATATGGTCGCTACTTATATGATGAACAGCGCAGACTTCATGGTCATCTGGCTCGGTCTCTTTTGTATCGGGTGTGCACCTGCTCATCTGAACTACAACCTCAAGGGAGAGGGTTTGGTGCATTGCCTTAAAGTCGCGGGTGTAAAGATTGTGCTTGTTGACGAGGAAGAGGGGTGTATGGAGAGGTTCGAAGGCGTGAGGGCAACAGTGGAAGAGATGGGTGTAACGGCTTTCAAGGTCGATGAAGAGTTGACAAGCAAGGTATATCAGGGCAGTACTCAAGTGCCAGGTGATGAGTACAGAGAGAATGTCGTTGGTACCGATCCGACATGCCTCCTGTACACATCGGGAACGACAGGATTGCCAAAAGCAGGAAAGTTCATGGTAAACCGTTATCACGAACGAGGAAATCCGCAAAACCTTACGTTCGACCAAAAAGCAGGACCAGATGGAGATCGATGGTATTGTTGCATGCCATTGTTTCATGGTACGGGGGGCCTAGCGGTAATGGGCGCGTTGACCGCTGGAATGAGCGTGGCAATAGGACGGAAGTTTTCAGTGAGCACTTTCTGGGATGATATCCACGACTCTCGATCCACTGTTTTCGTCTATGTCGGCGAAGCAGCGCGGTATTTGCTCATGGCACCACCACATCCGAGAGAACGAGACCATCGACTACGCGCCATGTACGGCAATGGTATGCGCCCGGACGTGTGGAACAGGTTCAAGGAGCGGTTCAACGTCCCAGAAGTCATCGAATTCTTCAATTCCACCGAGGGCGTTCTGGCTATGGTGGTTCATAGTAAAGGGCCATTCACAGCGACAACTGTTGCTCAACACGGCGCTATCATCAGGCGAGCTCTCAACAACATCTACGTACCCGTGCCCATTGACCCGGAAACTGGCGAGCTTCTACGAGACCCTAAAACTGGATTCGTGAAGCGCAACTCGTACAATGAAGGTGGAGAGATCCTAGTCGCGGTACCGAATGAACAAGCATTTGCTGGATATCACAACAACCCGAAAGCTACAGCTAAAAAATTCGAAAGGGACGTGTTCCAGAAGGGTGATTTGTATTATCGATCTGGCGATGCACTTAGACGGGACGACGATGGGCGCTGGTACTTCCTCGATCGACTAGGTGACACCTTCAGGTGGAAGAGCGAAAACGTGTCAACGGCCGAGGTAGCAGAGGTTCTCGGAAAATATCCCGGTGTAGGCGAAGCTATCGTATATGGAACCCTAGTCCCTAGGCATGATGGTCGCGCGGGCTGCGTAGCCTTACGGCTCGCTGATGGCGTTAGTCCCGACACATTTGATTGGAAAGCTTTGCTGGATTACTCCAGAAGCAAACTACCGAGATACGCGGTACCGCTATTCTTACGTCTAGTGAAGGAAGCGAGCAACACAGACAACCAGAAGCAGAACAAGGCGCCTTTGCGTGAAGAAGGCATGGAGATCGATAAGTTTGGCACCAAGGTTGTGGGAGGTGGTAATGATGTAGTCATGTGGATGAAACCAGGCGAGAATCGGTACGTCCGGTTTACCATGGCAGATCTCGAGGCCTTGAGGGCTGGTAAAACTTTGCTGTAGAGGCCTAGGTTGTTGATGAGGGTAATGAGAGATTGACACTGGATGTCGCTGCCAATCACAGAATCTCAGTGCTGTGTTCTCTCCCTGCCTGATGTAGTTCTTAAGACCGATTGGATGAACTCCACAAGGCCGTCCATACCTCGAGGCTCATTGAGCCAGTTCCCACCCTGCTCGAAGCACTCCCATCTGACGCACATGCCTATCTCTTCAAGCAGTTTCCTAAGATCATTTCCATGTTCAACGGCTACAACATCGTCGTCTTTGCAGTGCTGTAACAGCACTGGCATCTTCAACACATCTTGCTCTCGACCAGGCACATTCATGACGCGCTGTACCTCCTCTGCCAGCGGCAGCCATCCACTCAGCCCTACAAACCCCCCAACCCGCAACCCAGAGGCCAGCAGAGCAAATATACCAGTAGCACATCCCTGACTCATACCCGCTAGTATTAGCTTTTGGTTTCCCACGATTACCGCCTCTTCCGTGATGATTTGAAGAACCTGCGCGACGCTTCGCCATAATCCTGGTTTTTGTATCTCGCCGTTATCCTGTGGCCGCTGAACTGATGACATATCGAACCATTGGAACTCGTCTTCACTCTTATCATAGAATCCTGCAGCGCTAGGAAATACCCATTTAATGCCAGGAAATATATCGACAAAGAATTGTCCTGACCCTTCTTGACTTTCGAAAAGCTCTTCGCAGAAAACGCCACCGTCACTACCACGTCCATGAAGGAAGACAACGGTGCAGGTATGCGGCCCCGTAGGGGAGACAGTGTGCACCGAAGTGGCCATGTCGCGATCGGTATCGTGATGCAAAAAGTAAACCTTGCTTGAACGTTTCCAATGCTACTTCATGTTGCGCTTGTCAGCTTCGCTCATCAATGCATTGCCTTCGTTGAGTCTCGGCGTTTTGATGACCCGTGGACGTAAGCTATAGACCGACCTCATCAGCCCCCACCATGGTAAACCCATCTGCTTCAGGCGGATATGATCGGATTGCACCATCCATAAACTGCGCGTGCACACCAAAATTATGCCAGCAATGGCGGAATCTTTCTGCTGCTTAACAAAAGCTACAACGTCATTGGCTCGCTAGCGGCCACCAAGGTCCTATCGCTTTGGACCGCTCCACTTCGCCTCGTCCCTGAACGAAACCATGAGGAGGCAGCGGGCATGCTTCGCTCTTATCGTGTTTTGACTGGTTACACACGTCTCAAAAACATGGCAGATCTCGAAAAGCGACTTGTTCGCAAACTCGGTGCGTCAGACGAGGGCTTTACTGTTTCCGATGTCAGAAATCTAATCAACAGCAGATTGCTTCATACTGGTTGGGAGAACATGCCATTACACATAGTGGCAACTGACAGTATACTAGGTGTATTGCTGCGCTGCATACTTCTTCAACTACCTCGATCGCAGTGCTTTCGCAAATGCCTATGTATCTGGGCTGAAAGAGGATCTTCGACTTGAGGGGAACCAATACAGCATCTTGCTTTCCATGTTCACTGCAGGTAGCTGTGTAGGGCAAATCCCCCATGCTTTGATCATCCAGAAACTTGCGCCGCGTTTCTGGTTGCCCTTCACGTTGTTAGTATGGTCTGGTCTGACGATGAGCTCTGCGGCCTGTAAAACCTATACACAGCTGTGTGTGGTTCGGTTTCTCCAAGGCTTTTTTGAGTCGAGTCTCTACAGTGGCACTATCTACATCCTCGGTAGTTGGTACAAACCTCTAGAAATCGCCAAACGAACGGCCATCTTCACAGCCATTGGACAGATAGGCAGCATGTTTGCTGGGGTGATGATGACAGCGATGAATGAGAGTCTGCATGGTCAGACCTCTCTGAAAGGGTGGCAATGGGTGTTTATAATCAGTGAGTATCAACCTCAAGGTCACACGACACCACTAACAAGTGCAAGATGGCGCTATGGGTATTCCCTTCGGTATCTTTGGACTCATGTTCTTTCCCAATTTGCCAGAATCCACCAACGCTCCATATCTCAGCAAAGAGGAGATACAGCTAGCGGTTGACCGCTTGCCACCAAAGAAAGACTGGAGCCATGACATCAGCCTCAGGTCCCTCGCCAAACGACTCTTTGCAAAACCAGATGTCTACATTTTCACTCTTTACTCTGCGGTAGCCTGTGCACTGGAAGCCATTGTTCTACAAGGCCTTTTTCTGCTATGGATGAAAGAGAACATTGAAAAGTTTCCTTCGCATGCCACGACGACCTACCCGCTAGGTATCCAAGCAGTCTCCATTGTCTCCAATATCGGGGCAGGCTATGTTATTGACATGACCAATCGCCGCATACCGATGGTCATACTAGCTGGACTTTTGCAGCTACTCGTCGCAATTCTCTTGCTCATACCCAGTCTTTCCACTGCCGGAACATTCTTCGCATTCTACTTGGCCGGTACCTCATACATTGTAAACCCTATTCTATATGGGTGGGCTAGCGTTATATCTCAGCGCGGTGGTGACGACGCATCTCGATCAGTCATTCTTTACATCATGAGTATGGTGCAGTCGATCTTGTACACGTTTTGGGGCATTGCGCTTTACCCAGCAAGCGACGCACCTTATTGGAAGAAGGGTTATATCACAATGATCGTGGTCGTTTTCGCTTTCTTCGCTGCGACTGCAGCTGTTCATTGGGTAAGTATCGCACTGCTCTTGACAACGATTTACTGAACAAGCCCACAGTTGGACCAGAGATCGCAGAGGATTGAGAACGATGTAGCTGAAGAGTTGACTCACGTGAGCGAAAGGTCGAACGACAGAAAAGAGGACTAGAGATCAAGGAGATGGGGATAAGACGACATCTTGATATGATTTGCAATCCTTCATCGAGGAGCAATCTAACATTTGGCAGCTTGTCTCTCAGTCCTCATACTTTGAGATGCATGCTACCACCATGCAATCCTCCAGTTATTAAAACGTCCGTAGCTGTGGTCCAGGCGCCCGCATCGCTCAGTAGCCACATTGCAGGACCAATCAGATCACTCACCTGCCCACGTCTTCCCAACGGTGGCGCCTTCTCAAACACATCTTTCATTGCTGGATTTGCCTCGGCTGCTGCACGGCCCATCTCCGTCTCGATATATCCTGGGGAGAGACTGTTGACTCGGATCTTGTACGGTGCAAGCTCAACACCCAGATGCATAGCAAGCGACTTCACTGCAGCTTTGGAGGCACCGTACATGCTTGTGTGCTCTCTGGGTGTCGTGCTGTGCGCTGTTTGCGAGGACAAGAAAAGGATAGAGCCACCTTCACCATGGGCGCGTATGAGTTCGGCGGCTATTTGCGCAGCAAAGAACGTTCCCATAACCTGTGTATTGTCAACTTTGGGACTCTGCATAGCTGTCTGAAGGAGAATCATAGTTACGTTCACGTTCAGAATCTTCTGGCATTGATCCCATCCATGTTCAAAAAATGGCCTGTCAGCCGCAATGCCTGCAGCACAGATACTGTATAGCGTCAGTGACCGGAAGGCCAATAATCTTTTACATGCGTACATACCAATTATCGATACGCCCAAGTGTGCGCACTACAGCATTCATGGCCCCTTTCAGGCTTTCCCGGTCTGTTACGTCCGTCTCATAATACATCCACATTGTACCAGTCTTCTCTTCGAGAGCTTTTAGATCCTCAGACGGTCGAGCAGAAAGATCAAGCAATGCGACATCACTGCCCAACTCAGCAACGGCTTTAGCAAATCCCAATCCGATGCCACGAGCGCCACCTACATCTGTATCAGTAGCTTGAGGAATTTTGGCGATGGCATTTGTTGAATGACAGCTTACCGGTGACCACGGTCACTTTTCCCTTCATGGAGTACATATCAAGTACTGGTTTATGCAGGATATCGGCCATGTCGAGATATGTGAAAGAGGATGAGCCAGACGAGAGATTACATCATACGGATATACCCTTTTATATGTGAACGTACTCGCTTTCTGACATTCACACGAATCGCCAGCGATCACGAGTTTATCATTGGATGAGCTTCTTCCAGGGTTGAGATAGGAAGCTTCGCCATCTTCCTGACATAATTGTTATCAAAATAGTTCTGGATGCATAACCTCAAGATTATGACACACCAATGAGATGTAGATGCGTGTAGGACTAGTGCGGACGGGATGCTGGTTGCGGTAAAGTGTGACTAGGCGCCCAACCTTTCCCCGCCTCGTCTGTAGCCTATGCAACCCACCAACGACTTTCTGAGGACTGTTATCGAAGGCGTGGGCTCAAATGTCGCATGAAGCACCGAATAAAGCCTCTGCAAGTCCTCTTGATTTGGCGCATGGCACAACACAGCACAGCACAGTGCAGGGACGCTGAGATTATAATTACGGATATCACGGATTGTGTACAGTGACCCGATAGTGAGTTCAACTCCCCAACCAACAATCAACCTCCGCGTAATCCATCCATCGACACGCATTAGTAGAAGTCCGATTCTTGCGAAAGAGCTGGCACTAGTAACAAAGGCTGTATTGCAGGGATGGTGACACGGTCAGCCCTTCATCTGAGCCTATCAGGCTGTGCAATTATTACTCAGGTACTCAAAATCGAGTGGCTTGTACTCGGGGAATACATATTCCATGCTGTTATAAATCGTAGTCATGTTCGACAGCTCACCATGAACAGGGACAAGCCTACGCTCAAGAAGTAAGTGACTGTCTGAACGAAAGGCGCGTCGGAAACTCACAACGCTGACTTGGCAACACGATGCTTTGCCATGGCATTAACAAGCTGGCTGAGCTCGTTGTGGTCGTTGTGAGTTGCCATCAGCTGCGCCTGAACTACATGATCGGCATCGAACACTAGAACAGTGCTGTCATCGGTGGGACAGGCAGGCATGATCACGGTGACGCTATGGTCTCGAGCATGAATGCTACCCTCAACGTGGATGAATGTAGCCCTGTAATCGCTTGTCTGAACAATGTAAGGCGCACCGCGTCTGCGATATGTTAGCGCTTCGTCTGCAAACATCTACAAACCGTACGTACTCATAGGTTGCGAACTTAGCTCCAGGAATATTGGCATAGTATGACTGAGCCATCTTAGGAACGACAACCTCGGCTCCATTCTCGACAAAGCTTGGAACACCTAGGGCGTGATCATGATGATGGTGTGTAGGCTGCCCAGAGTCAGAAATGATGAGAAGACATGGTTTGTAGCCCAATGATCTGGGTCTACTTACCCAAATTTGTGACACTGGCTTTCCAATATTGATCCTAACCCATTCCAGTAGGACCAGCGCCTGTTCACTTGGAGCATCTAGAACAACAACATAGTTGTCGGTCTCGAGCAGTATCTGTCGATAATTTGCGACGCCAGGCATTCGGATCACCCACACCCCTGGCATATCTGTGTAGGGTTGTTGTGCGTCGAAATCCATAGCTGTGAAGTTGAATCGACCAAACCATAGGTAGTTTGCGTACTTCTCTCCGATATAGGCAGTGAGCGCAGGATCGACAACGGGGATGTTTAGATTTCCACGTTCTGCCGAGACGTTAAAGAATGATGGTTCGAGGTCAAAGTTGACGGATACCTCATCCGCAAGAAAGTCGGTAATCAGGCGCTTATTATTGTATATGATCTTGAAATGACGGGGTATCATCAGTCCATCGACACGGATATAGTCGTACACTCGCAAATCATTCGTAGAAGGGCCGAAGAAGGGATGATCCTCGTATGTGCGGATAGCGAAGGGCAGGTAAGTGTCAGGATCGAAGAGGACTGATATGTTCAGGGACTGATCGAAGACTAGAAGCAAGTCAATGTAAGTTTGATATGCGCTAGGAGGGATCACCAACCTGCTGGAAGAAGCAAATCACCTTCAACTGGTTCGGAACGAAGAGTGAACTGACCAGTCGAGATCTTACTAACTAAAAGAGGATCCCACTTGTGGCTGTCAGTAATCATGTACGCCGCGAGGTATCCTGATGATCGACAGATCAAAAGACAGGTATCGTTTAAGTCGACTTGCCGTCTAAGTAGCCTTCAGGAGCACCTGACGGCTCGAACAGAGAATAACTACCCCTGATTACGGCAGCGGATCCATCCTCGCCATCTTGCACTACCACGGAGTAGTCCATAGGCTCAAGCGCTGGTCGTGCGAATACCCAAAGGGCTAGGACATAGTATCAGTGTATGAATTAAGTACATCGCGAGGAATTACGTACTTCCCAAGCCAGCAAATCTATCAATGCGTTGTTTCAAGCCGCCTTCTCCATATGAGTATGTGATTGTCTGATTACCATATGGAACAACTGTTGAATCCATTCCATCCAAAGCTATCGTGGTTATCATGGACTTGGTGCGAAATTGAGAGCCGGATATTCTCACGTTTCTCACTCTAGTAGTATTCGCATCGATGCCTATGGCATTCAAGCCGCGCTCCATGAGGTCGTCAGGAACCTCATGCTGGCGAAGGCTCAAAGCTACCGAGCTGAAGGTCAAGGATATGACTATCAGGGTCGATAGAATCAGAGCGGTTGACATCTTGATGTAAGCTTCCTAGCGGAAAGAGTGATACTCCAAACAATGTACAATCAAATGATCTATGAAGAGATTGCGAAATATCAACAGATTTATAGAAGCATATTCGAAAGTCGCAATAAGGTGAACGCATATCTAGTTTGGATCTCAGCTCCCTATATACGTTGTCGTGTCATTCTCTCACCTACTCCAACTTGGCGAATTCTTTTCGTCTTTGGCCTCGTAAGATTTTACTAAGGATTACGCAGAGCTCTGATCGTTATTACAAACGAACAGGGCTAAGTAATTTGTTGATCCATGCAAAGTGTGATCGATGCGCTTGCAGCAAACTTTACGAACTGTGCCGTATCTACACAACGTTGAGTTTTATGACGCCCTAAAACGTATGCTTACGAAGACTACGTGCCAGCCCAGCTGCGGTAACGCCCGGATATGTGAAACCTTGTACGATTATCGTCATCACTCAAAACCAAAGAGTACAATTTGCTGTTGTAGAGCGGAACGGAACGAGCTTTGCTTTGTGCATGCCGATAACCGGGCCGATTATGAATACAAACTGCTTGATCCCGCAACCAACATCCCGATCTAGCTCTGATGGCCGACCGTGGGTGTATTTGCTACGGACGACTCTCGCAGCAACGGACGACGTCAGCTTTCTGACAATGAGATCACAACTTGGCATGACACGTCACACAACGGGAGACGTGCTACGTACAGCATAGACCTTGGAGAACCTCTAGCATCTTTGAGCTGAGGACATCTATCTGACGCTGGAATATCCTCAGTCTTTGTGGCCCCGATCAGCAATCATGACGCAAGCCACTCTCGACGGAGTCTTCTCACACGCTTTCCTTGACGATATCTCAAACTTCTGGTTCCGTCATCTCGAAGCCGAACATGTCATCATCCCCAGCATCGAAGATGCAGCGCCATGGTTTTCGCAAAGCGACGCATACGACTGGGAATGTTTGTATGTATCACACCTGATACGATGTTCATCGATTATGGATGCTAGCTCACGATAGGTTAGTGGCAAGTTTGGTGCGCAGCTCGAGCTGATCCAAACGATGCAACCAAGTGTTGCTGATATCCTGACCGCAGCAAAGCCTTCATCGCCTTTGCATTGGATCAGTCTAATCATCCTCTTGGACCAAATCCCACGGAATTGCTTCCGCGGCGCGAAAGCTCTGGTGGTGTTTACGCTCTTTGACAAGTTAGCGTTCGAGGTTGCTTCCCAGGCACTCGAACTTGATTTACCAAAGGAAAAACGAGTTCGTTTCCGGTTGGCCTATAGATTTTGGTTCTACATGCCAATGGAACACTCAGAGAATTTAGAGGTACACAAAAAGCTGAAAGAAGCTCATTCAGAGATGTGGCATGATCATGAGATGCTACTAGAAAAAGCTGTAAAAGGATGGGACGGTCCCTTTGCACAACACCATGCTGTGCTCCTCAAGAGAAGAGATAGCTTCAAAAAGTTTAGAGAGACCATGGAGGGTATCTGCGAGGATAAGAAGAGTTTACTACGTCGTTTTGGGCGATTTCCACAGCGTAACAGCGCGTTAGGTCGACCATCTACTGTAGAGGAGATTGAATGGCTGAAAATCAGATGAAAGCTTCTTGGAGACTGCGGGGGAGATACCGTGTCCTCTTCTTATTCTATTATGGGCCATAAGTAAAACAGCCAGAAAGCCTAAATAATTCAAGGATGTATGGAAGGTCTCGTGTTGCGTTGCCTTTTTGTCTCGGCTACAGTTAACGAGGAAAGGGAGTTTCGTGTTTAACATTACGTTGTCTGATATGATGTTTATTTAGGTGGAATGACAGGCGTTCTTCACTTCCATAGCCTTCACTCGACAGAAACACGAAGCTTTAATAGAAATGTCGGCATAAGCCATAGCGATGTCGCGCTGAAGGCGGATACCCTGGGCTTGTTGTAGTTTGCCATTCAGCATGAAACATTCATGAAGGCCATGCAGACCCCATATATTGTTGACACGTGCCACGCGACGGGAAGAAGTGTCACTCAAGCCCAGGTCTTCTGAGTAGAGCCTTTCCGCCTCCTCAGACTGTCCTTGTTCGAGGAGTAGTGCACTTAAAGCGTGGCGAACGGGTTGCATCCAGAGTGGCGGGTCAGCGTAGGCAAGACCATCCTCCATCTCAATGCCACGGCGTAGAACGGCAAACGCTTTTGAAAAGTTGCCCTTACGATACTCCAGCTCGCCTTCAAGCATTGCTGAGGCTACTGCAAGGACTGCATCTGCTGGAGAATAACCGTACATTCGATATGCAGGTACAGCCTGACGGGCCATTTCGAAGGCATCTCTTGCGTGGCAAGCCTCTTTGATGCGCCCAAGCACAGCGTAGGCGATTCCTTTTGCATAATGTACTGTCGCTGTAGATACGCAAAGAAGCTGTGGGTTTGCTGGCATCGGAAGTTTAATGATCTCTTCCCATTGGCCAAAACGAACCATTACGTGAGGCAATGTCACTAATTGCCATTCAGTCCAATCGACCATGCTTGGTGTCTCGATCGACATGAAATCCAGAGTCAAGATCTCAGACAGCCGCTTGGCGGCATAGTGTGCATCACCAGAGCGGCCAGACATCATGGCAGCATAAGCCATGGCATGGCAGTTATGTGCTCGGTAGGCAGTGTACATCAGAGATGCTGTATCTCCGCGTGCGAAGTATTTGTCGTCTGCAAGTATAGCGTTGAAATTGGAATCAACAGCCCGACGGTAGTCGCCACAAGCAGTGTCGATGTGTGTCGCCATGTGCTGCATGTGGGAACCATCTGGTACCATCCGTCGCAGACTGTCGGCTGCGTTCAAAGCCAGTTCGGGAAAGGGCGACATCTCCATCATGTGGATGTACAAATGGCACAGGCCAGGATGATTTTGTCCGTCAGTGTATGCTAGTCCCTTTTCTAATGCGGCTCTTGCCTCATCTATATCTGTCCCTGTCGTTTTCCCAGTCTTGAGGTCCCAGAGCTGACGCGGACGAGTACACATGATGGCGTCAGCGAACAGAGTCATCACATCGAGATCTTCTCTGTAAGCTTCGTAGACCGGGCGCATAGCTTCTGCGTATGCATAGTCGAATTGCGATAAGTCAGCTGGAATGGCCGTATTACTGCACGGAAAGCGAGCGGTGAGTGCAGTAATGAGTGCTCTTTCCTTGGGTGGGACATCGACCTGTACTTTCCTTGCGCATGCCAAGGCACCGAGTATCTTTTCCAGGGAGCTGCGACGATCGTCCGGTGTGAACATTCGCCAAGATTTGTTGTAGTTGGGACCTACAGCAAATGCAATTCCCCAATACGCCATTGCGCAATTGGGATCATGTACAGCTGCCGTCTCGAAACATTGCGTAGCCGCTTCGTGGTTGAACGAGTAGCACCACACAAGGCCACGATTGAACCACGTTTGCGCTTCCTGCGATGTTGTATGGATTTCACGTCCATATTCACCCAAGTCATAATACGGGCTCTCACCGCCTGAGCTGAGATAGTCCCTGTGCTAGTCAGTACCGTAGAGTAGCATCAACGGCTCAGTACTTACTTCATTTTCCACTGTTTCTAAGTTGCTTCCTCGGCCTTCGACGTCCGAAATGAGGCTGGTAGGTGCAAGTTGCCAGAATTACAATCTGCAACCGCTATTCTGTTTATTCGGACGAATTCGATCCCAAAAACGCTTTACTATTCTTCACAGAATGGACGGCCGAGGTGAAGGTTTTATATAATTCCTGATTGCTCGGCCGAGCGAAGATTCTTATGTTGTCTTATCGTACAGTAGTAACTTTGCGTGTGTCGGTGTTCAAATCCATCTAGTCGGCGTTTACCTAACGAAGGTTTCGGGGACTATCATCTGCTGCCGTAAGAGAAGCCCCGCAATTGTAAGCTAAGTGTTCAGCCCCGCTCTCCTTGCAGTCGATGGCATCACTAGAGACAGGAGTTGCTAGGCCAAGGTGCTTTGTCAGACAAACACGAGGCGAGTCGGAGCGGATGTAGAGTTAAGCATGCCGGCCCGTTGGGTGACTAGCGTACCGATCTCAACCTCGTATTACCTGGATGGGAGATTAGGGCTGTCTAGGTGCTGATTAAGGATACTTAGCCTATTGCAGCATGCTTTGCAAGACGGACAAAATGTGGACGTCTGGTTAAGTAGGTCGACTGCGTACAATGCGAGATAGACATCGTCTATATAACGACCGTCACAATCTATGCACTAAGTCCAACTTCGCCATCTTCAACCTTGCCGTAACAATACAACACCTGCACACCACCAAGACCTTTGTCAACCTAAAAAGAAGAACCATGTCAAAGACAATCACCAACGTTGCACTCACAGGAGTAAGGATATTTTCAAAAGACCTAGGCATAATCGACTAACATGACACAGGCGACCGGTAATGTAGGATCACCCATATTGACTAGCCTTCTTGAAGCCGGTTTCAATATTACTGTCATTGCTCGCAAGGGGGGTAGAGCATTCCCATCGGGTGTGTCAGTCAAGGTTGTCAACACCGACTCTATCGCAGAGATAACCGAGGCCCTACGTGGTCAACATGCCATCGTGGATGCAACATCCGGGCCCGATCCAACCCTTCCAGGGCGAATTGTCGAAGCTGCTGCTTCCGCCCGGGTATACCGTATCATCCTCAGCGAATTCAGTGTCGATCCTGAAGATCCTGTAGCTCGCTCGCCGCTCGTGCACCATGGAAAAAACCAAGCTCTTCGGCGAGTCAAGGAATTGGCTGCTGAGAGAAAGCTCACATGGAGTGCTATATCGAATGGGGCTTTCTTAGATTGGAACATCCGAACCGGCTTCATCAACGTTGACATTCGAAGCAAGAAGGTCGAATACATTAACGATGGCATGCTTCCGTTTCCCTGGACAATGCTCTCTTCGGTCGGTGCAGCAGTTGCAAATGCACTCCAAAAGGCAAAAGAGACGGAAAACCGCTGTTTGTATATCTCTAGCGTTATCAAGAGCCAGAAGCAGATGGTAGAGCTTGCGAAAGAGGTCTTAGGTAGAGATGGGTGGGAGGAGACAGAGCAAGATATGAACCAAAAGTTGGAGGACGCGACTGAGTCTATGATGGCTGGCAAAGTTGACCTTGGTGTCATCGGCGATATGATCCGATGGTCTGCGGGTACCGTGCCTGCCCTGCGCTGGAAGCAGTTGGACGACAACAAGCTGTTAGGCGTCGAACAGCTGGATGACGACGAGGTGCGCAAGTTAATTCGAGACATCGCTTTGGAGAGCAAGTAGTCTTCCGGATCAGGAATCGTAGGTCGGCGCATACCGGCATGAGAACATGAAATCGAAACAATTGGCCCCATCATACATCATGATGTACGATTCTTTATACCTACTTTATCATCAACATATACGGCGTATTGTATGTGCAGCATGGTTGACCGAAATGAGTAGTTCCCAGATAAGGATTCGTGTTTTGAAACTGGTTAGAGGTAACTAGGTGATTCGTTTGTTGAGGCAATTTCCTCCCTCTTACGGAGGAGCGAGACATTCTGCAACTCTGATAAAGACAGGATCACCATTATGGAATAGCTTGCCATGGGTACGAGCATGGGAAACTGCCAATCGGATCTGTCCTCGGCGATCAGGTGGTAGACATTTGCTGCTTTGCTGCATTGCTGCACGAAGATCTGCGCTGCAATTGAGCATATAGGCGTTATATTCGGTGTGACGTTGCTCATATTGCAGAATCTTTCCTAATTCGAAGGACTGGTCGACATGCGCAACAGGAGTCATATAGTCAAAGTCAGCACCTAATCAGGTATTGACTTATAGGGGGCTGGGATGATTTGTCGAGTACCCTAGCCAAGTCCTGGTCCACTGCTGCATGTACGATAGAAGGCGGCCATGCCGATGCAGAGGGGAAATTCTTAATCGTTCATTTATCCTTGACCTCGAACTTGGCGTATCCGACGGCGAGCTCTCCACATGTACTAGAGCCTCACAGGAGATTTGCGTATCTCACGTTGCCGCGCATATCCGATCTGTGCGTGACTTGCGCGCGTTATCTGCGAAGAGCCTCCTCGCCCTCACACAGGCAGGAGCTGAGGAGCTGGAGTATCGTTCCTCGTTTCAAGCCGGATTGCAAAGACCACATATTATGTTTGGAAGCAATGCGCCGTCGTGTGCATTCAGGTACATCAGGCGCGCTTCCAAGATCGTGGCGTGTGGGGCCGTCAGATAAGGCGATGCTCTGTAGCACTGCCCTGGCAAGGAGCTGTATCTCGCTACATCGACACGGGAAGATGTGACTTGAATTGGAAATGTCGGCCAGGCGAGCGAGTGCATAGATCTGACGCAAAGGTGGGGTCTGACGGATGATGTCGAAAACAACGGGGGCTTGGTATTACAACCACTAACTCAATTCGGCGTGCGTGGCCTCCAGGTCTTGTCCTGCCTGCAGGATGTCGAAGAAGGGCCATGGTGATAGAGCGTGGGCGACCGTTTTCCACATATATCGCGTAAGATCAGGCCGCGATCAATCCTCCTATATGTCATGTCCTTGCGTATTTGATATGTCTCGGCAACGGTTTTAACCGGCCGTTTGCGTGGGATGCGTCAATGCCCTGAGCATGAAACGCGACATGTCGCTTCTTCGTTCTCGACAGCCTCACCCCACCTGCTGAGGCAGCAAACGTTTGCCTGCACACGGTCGCGTTCGCGCATCGTCCCCACTATAAGGTGAGTCCCAAGCGATGTCGATCTGCCGAACCTGGCACGTCAAGTTTCATTTTTTCGTTCTGCATTGACGCTCGAACATTCTGAGTCTCGGATGAGGCCTGAGGCCCTTCCCGCTCCTTCACCTCTCATTCCGTACGAGTAATAATCCCTGGTGTTAGCCACGCGATGAAGCTATATCAATGACAATTATCAAATCCCCGCCGTATCTATCCTGGTGCCTTTAGGAGTGTTTGTCGAACGTGGTGGCCCTTGACCAATAGCAAGCGATTATCAACCAGGCTTGATTCGCGTCCAAAGATTAAGGACATGATGGTACATCATACTTGTACCCGGCCCGTTTGCGCGACAACTTTCGAATCTGCTAGCCAAGGGTCCATACATGGGAGTAAAAGATGGCAAACCGCCTAATCGTCATCCAGGTCGCGATAAGAATGGAGCTCCTGTCTTCTCCAGCTTCTTTGGTGATCACGTCGATCATTCGCCTTTGAGAGCTGGACTCTGACTCTGTCGTTACGTTCATATGTAGTGGCGCAGGCTTTCGCCTATTCGTTCTTCTTCTAATTCCCTTCTGCGTTCGTTCCAACGTCCACCACTTCGTTCTATCTATCACGTCTTATGAACTTTGATATACAGCACAGACTGCACCGTTATGGAGCAGAGTACCTCTCGTTCTATCCTGGCACTCAGGCTGCCAGACCCCCGTTTCAGCGTCGACTTTGCAAACTACGCTGTTGATGCCAAAGCAGTTGCCACTTCTAGAAAGTACATGCAGGACTTGTTTCCCGGCCAGAACAAGCCTTTACCGCCCCCAAGGAATCAAGCGTCACGCCATCCCATTGCGCGTACAACACCAGCGTACGAGCTGCAGCAACGGCAATGTTCCAAACAGATGGCTTCACAGATACCGGACGACAAATGGGATGCGCATACGATAGAGTGCATGATAATGCTGGACGATTCACCCATGGACACCTCGGATCGATCTTCAGCTTCATCAAAATCAACATTGGCCTCTTCTACAGCAACGTCCTTTACCGACACTATATCTACTAGCGCTACAAGTCACTTGGTACCTACGCCAGCGGCTACCAGCGGCCGGCAAACGTTGACGCCCAACTTTCTTCAGCTGCCATCGACAATAGTTGACCACATATTGTCATACGTTTTCGCCGAAGAACGGGCCGTCTCCATCACACCATACCAGTCCCGCGTTGTGCCCCAGCAGCGTCGCCGCCATCGTCACGGTCCGAATGCCGTTGACATACGATCATTCATGATGCAGCCTGCATTGATGGTATGCAAGCAGATTCGAGAGCTAGGGCTGGAGATTCTATATCGCGACAGCCTTTTCCTTATCGATCTTTCCGAGGTCGATAGCACAAACACGTGCAATGAGAAGGACAACAGCAAGTACTGGGGGTGCTGGACAAGTAATGTGCCTCCTCGAATGGTTCGAAGTGCTCTTGCTCGTGCTTCAAACATCCGCTTCCAACTTCCAGTCCCCAGTGCAGAGGCTATGGTTGTGCGAAGTGCGACCAAGAGGAAGAAGGATGCCCAGGAAGAGACATCTATCATTGTCGATTCTTTACGCGCAGTTACCAACCTGATTACTGGGTTGAAAAAATCTCAGACGTCCCAAACTGAGAGATCTCGCTCAGCAAGCCCAGCTGGTCCGAAAATCTTGCGTCGTAAGCTCAGCTTTCGATCTGCAAAGCGTCCTGACTCATTAGAATTCGTATGCCGTGGAGACTCACCACCACCACAGCCGAGAGAACCATTGGATACATTAGAGGTTGTCCTTGTGAACAGTGATGTAGACACTGAAGTACATAGCATGACGTTGGACATGGTAGCGGTGTGCAGTAGCATCCCTGTATGCGGAAGCCTTGAGTACCATCTGGAAATCGACGGAATGCGAAGGCTTTGGGCTAAGCGAGAGAAGGGGAAGTGGCTGGGTAGTGAGCCTGATGGAAACAAATTGCTTCGTGGTATGTCACCGCCGTGCTCACAACTCAACATGAAGACTCACATGTACCAGATTTAAAGGCCTTAGGACAGCAGTCCACAAAAGCAGATATCACGCACGTTCATGGAAAGCACAAGAAAAGCAATGAGAAACCTACGATACGTGCGGATGTCCTGCATAGAGAACGGACACTGCCAGCCCAGCAACCTACTAGCAGCAGACCCAGCTTAGATGGACAACTGCAACATCGAAGTGCCTCTAAAACAAGACCATCCAACGACGGCATCGTTGCAAGAAAGATCAAAGAGATGGAAAACTTGTCCAGAATCAAGCTCTTGAAGGGCAACAAACAGCCGCCGACCGTAGAGGAGCTCCAACAGATCGCCGCTGATATTAGGAGGGGTGTTTACTAGGAAATTCGTTTAGTCCTAAGATGGATAGAGCCAGGTGCTCGGAAATGTAGTATAATTCATTGTCTTCGTGTCATTTCTACGTCTAACATCTATGCTCTGGTCATGTCCAATGAAGTGCTGGGCGTTCGGTGTGCTGTGTTGTCTAGGCCTTTCCATCCGAGAACTGAACGACAGCCCACTTGCCACTCCATGCCCACTTCCTCGACCCACTGTCTCCACCACCCCCTTCCATAGCTTTTATGCGCTCATCTTCCCCGTCGGCGAGCCCGACCACGACGTCGGCCTTGCAGGTGCGGAGCGCGAGAACGCGGAGACCTGAGCCCGGGCCCATGGGCCCGATGGCGTCGGTAAACGGCGTGGTAGCAGGCCAAGCAGCCTATTGTTGATCAGTAAATAGTGTGAACAACAGAGACGAGAGCACTTACATCAGCAGTCAGCTTGCGATAGTTCAGATCGCCTTTGAAGATGACAAGCTCACTTTCCTTGAGATCTTCATAAAGTTCCGGCTCTGTCTTGGGAAGCCGCCAATAGCTACCGCCTGCAGTCCAAAAGTCGTTCGGCCGCAGCATCAGCTGACCCTCGGCATGCAGAGTGCTCCAATGCTGGAAAAGGAACTGCAAAGCCTCGCTTTCCGCTTCCGACAATGGCACAGCTTCCTTTCCAGCGTGCTTCTCATCTTCGGTGAGCGCACTGTAGAAGCTCTGGGGGTCGGCTAATGCGGAGAGAAGAGCGCCGAAGTCCGCTGGTAGAACATCTGAGACGAACCAAGGGATGGACTTGGGGTGGAACACAACGTTTGTCGCAAGGCCAGAAGCTATGAGATAGCCGGCGAGGATCAGATCAACAAAGAGCTCGAAACCTGCGTTGTCCAGCACGATATCGACGCGGCGCTCTTTCTTGCCCTCTTTCTGAGCTGACGTGAGTATCTCGAATGCCTTGCCTAGGTCGTTGACCAAAATATTCTTCTCAGAGTTCTTTCTTGCCTCGGATCCTTGCAGCTTCTGGATATCCTCGTATGAGAGGTTCGTCAGGAGCGACAGATCTGTCGCATTGCCCCAGAGGCAGATCTCGCACATCTCTGTGAAGAGGACCTTCTCGGCGGCCTCGAGCTGCTCCTGTGTCTCGGCACCTTTTATTGTCTTCTTCTGCTCGAGCTCCATGACGATGTCCTTGTAGCGCGCGGCGAGTTCGAGAACGGCGGGACGGGAGGATTTGAATGTGGCCATCTTCTGGCGGGCGAAGAGGTCGTACGACCGCCAATTCTTGGTCTGCTTAAAGATGCTCGAGATGCGTCTTCCTATGGCCATGAGCATGAGCCATGGGACGGCAAAGGTCGACATACCTGTAGAGATAGCACTCCGAGTACAGCCATGGCACATTGTGCCACTTGGGATTGCCCCTTGCAGCCAACTCCTTGTTGTAGGCGTCGACATCGCGCTCGCCGTCATCGGGAATCGGGGTCAGCTCGCGGTCGTGTTGGAGTTCGTATTTTAACTTGGCAAGCTCTGCAACAACCCATTTGCCTTCGGTGATGGCCGCTTCGTCTTTGGTGTCGTGCAGGGAGCGGTGCACGTCGTCAATGCCTTGGGTGATGATAATGGGCCATCGCGAGCGCGCCGACGTGTGGGCAAACGACGTCGCGTCGTTGGTGCTGTACTGTTCTATTGCGCGTAAGTCGCAGTACGGTTGATAGCGTGCGTGGAATACTCACGTGCAGGGAATGTATCGAACTCCATCTTGTCGCTGACTTGTTGTCGTTGCGTGTGGGGGAGGCTTTTCATGCCAATGCCTCAAAGATGACGATTCCTGCAGGGGTCTGGGAGCGAATATCTTGCCAAGCCTCGACGCTACCCCTCCATACCTCATCTTTACCCTACTTTGCGCCTCACTACCTAATGACAGACCAATACCCACAATCTCTGGCCTCGCTTTTGATGCAATGTATCGGGAAAATCATTAAATAATCTATTATCGCTGAGCTATGTAACTGCGATACCCGTCGGCTTTCGGACGCTGGGGTCAAAGATTGTCCAGCTTTGAAGATTATGACTGCATCAGAGAGCAGCTCTAATCGAAAGCCTCAAACAAGTGCTTACTGACAGTGCGATGCTCAGGAGAGAATCGTAATCGGGCGACGATCGGCTCTAAGCTCGGGTGCAGAAAGAAACGTGTCTCCTAAGGCCATTACTATGTTCGAAGATGAACCCCAGCTAATCGGTTGCTTGCAATCGCAATCTGACAACCGGACGCGGTCTTTGTTCAAGGCCAAGAGACTGTATTGCGCATGGGACTTGGTGGTGCAGGCTGTTGACGCAGGGTCTACCCAGGGTGCCGGCGAATCAACGGGGCAGGGTGACATTTAAACTATGACGCGTTTTGCTAGACATGTTCTATGTTTCTGCGCTACCTAAACGTCAACAAGCAATTCTCAAAGTCGCCTTCCCAGCAGAATGGAGCTTGCTTGTGTGTAATTTGACACGGCACCTTCACAACTTCCCAACATTATTCACACGACTCAGTTGCGCCATCCTATGAGCGTCTACCGCTCCATTGCCTGCATCAGTGCTCGTAGCACCATCCTCTTCAGGCCTCAGCGCTTCATCACACCCTTCATACGCACAATGGCCACGATACCGAATGGTGACCTCAACAACACCTCAGCCGAACGGGTTCGAGCTGAAATCGCCATTGATCCTGCGTACCAACATCTCTCACTTGCGATACTCCCCTCCGACGACGATGCCGAAATCCGAAAATTATACAGACCATTCATACTCGAGGGGGATGATGCAGAACAAGACTGGGTTTCTCAGTTGGAGCTGAGTACTGTGTTGAGAATGGTAGACACACAAGTGCTCCAACGGGGTGATGATAGGCTCAGAGTAGTAGTTTTGTATGGGAGCATGCGGCAGAGGTAGGGACCACGTTCAATCAGCCTGATACTCGAGGCTGTCTTCTCGCATCTGCTAAGTCCAAGTAGATCCTACTCCCGCCTGCTAGCATACGAAGCCAGCAGAGTACTTTTCCGACTTGGCTGCGATGTGCGCATATATGATCCTACTGATCTTCCCGTCAAAGATGACGTGCAACATACACATCCCAAAGTGCAAGAGCTACGCGACTTGAGTAAGTGGAGCGATGGACATGTATGGATATGTCCTGAGCAGCATGGAACCTTAGTGAGTAGCCACCCATAGCATCCCATGTCTGCCAGCGTGTCGACTGACAATGCTCCTTTTCCAGACGGCCGTCTTCAAGAACCAGATCGACTGGATACCCCTCTCGACCGGATCTGTGCGCCCGACTCAGGGCCGAACTCTCGCCATAGCACAGGTGAATGGCGGATCGCAGTCCTTCAACACGGTTAATTCGTTACGCATACTCGGTCGATGGATGCGTATGTTTGTGATCCCGAACCAAAGTTCTATACCCATGGCATACAAGCAGTTCACCGAGGAGGACGCTGGAAGCAGGCTCATGCCTAGTGGTAACAGGGATCGTCTTGTTGATTGCATGGAGGAGTTTGTCAAATACACCATCGTCACGCGTCCGCACTTTGACCTTTTCGGCGACCGGTATAGCGAGAGAGAAGAGAAACGGGCGAAGCAAGCAAAAGAAGTGAACAAGCCTGCCCCAGACACCCAGCATGCAGCGTTGTCGACCAGCGCGGGCCCTTCGAATTGATATTTACAGTAGTTCAGATGTTTGGCGGGTTCTCCACGAGATATGGAAACATAGACGAGATTTGGATAGAGGTTGTAGGGCAGCATACGAAAGAGAGGCTCCAAAGCAAGCTTGGACTAGCGTTGTCGATCTTCTTGGGGTAATGACACCCCGCAATCGAACAAGTGACATACCATTTACCGGTATAAATGTTGGTGCCGCCGCCATGAACGAGACATGCGATAAATCGCATCCTATACGATAATCCAAAGAGACTGCAATTTTATTAATGCACCTCTGCGCTTCACCACCGACTCCTTCCGATGATGCAGACATGGCTGAGCTCGCTGTTGCCGTAGCACGCCCACCTCCAGATGGTGGATATGGCTGGGTGTGTGTGGCAACGTGTTTCACCATCAATTGTTTTACCTGGGGTACTGTCTCCGTAAGTCAGATTACATAACTCCCATGTCCCTTATCTTCACGTCTCCTGCTAAGCTAATCGCTGCAATAGGCTTATGGCATCTACCTATCGCACTACCTAGTGGACAATGTTTTCCCTGAAGCATCTTCCTGGGACTATGCATTTATTGGAGGCTTCAACTTTGCCATCGCTATGCTCCTTGCACCTTTCGTCACTGTCTTCTGTCGCAAATTCGGTATTCATGTTATCATGTGCTGTGGAATGGTCTTCCAGCTTGGTGGCTTCATTGCCGCCTCATTCGCAACTCGTATATGGCAGCTGCACATTTCGCAGGGCGTCTTGATTGGCTCTGGGATCGGTTTCTTATACATACCCTGCCTCCCAGTCCTTTCCCAGTGGTTCGATCGAAGACGAAGTTTAGCCAATGGTATCAGTGCGGCAGGGTCTGGTGTTGGCGGTGCGGCGTTTGCATGGGGTACTGAAGCTATGATCCAGCGCATGAGCATCAGCTGGGCCTTGCGCATTACCGGTATCGTCGCCTTCGTCGCCAATGCTACTGCGATAGCATTCATACGTGATAGGAATAAAGCCATTCGACCATCTCAGCTTGGATTTGATACCAAACTTCTCCGGCGTTACGAAGTACTACTGCTCCTCGCTTGGATCTTCATTAGTATGCTGGGATACGTTGTCCTGCTCTTCTCATTGTCTGACTTCGCGCTATCGATCGGGCTCTCCAGATCACAAGCCACCGATATGATTGGATTTCTGAACGTCGGTACTGCTGTTGGGCGGCCATTGATCGGCGTATTGAGCGATCGATGGAGCAGAGTCGACACAGCAGGGGCTCTGACTTTGCTGTGTGGGATCTGTTGCTTCGCGTTCTGGTTGCCTGCGGCATCATACCCACTGACTGTATTCTTTGTTATAATTTGCGGCGCTGTTGTTGGAGTGTTTTGGATGGTAAGTCGGATCTTGCGTCTCACTCCAGTTTCAAGAGACCCTCTAACTGGTGTTCGCTAATAGACAATCGGTCCACTTTGCGTCGAGGTGGCAGGCATCAAGAACTTGCAGTCGCTGTTATCTCTGTCGTGGATGGCAGTGATAATTCCAGTAACAGGTATGCATGCTTCCAAATTTGTTTGAGAACAGTCTAACAAAGTGCCATAGTTTCTGAGGGAATCGCTCTCAGGTTGAGGCGTCCAGCATCTTCACGAGAGTATCTCTACACCCAAATCTTTGCAGGTCTCTCGTATGTTGTAGCCAGCGGCTTCATGTTCCAGCTTCATAGAGTGAAACGACGCCAAAAATCTCCCACTCAGTAGCGTATGAGGTTACCTCGGATCCTCTGTGATATTCGCAAGGGCTTTTAGCGATACATGGTGCATCTCCCAATAACCTTCTCGCGGATTTGCACTCAATACAGATTCAAATCACAGCTTGACATCCAACTCTGTTCTGTTGTAGCCTTTCGGTATTCGCCCAATTACGATAGATGATGCTCCTGTATACAGTGTCGTTAGGCTTGGTGATGTAGCGTGAGAAATTTCCATTGTCGGTGATTTCATGATCGTAAAATCTCTAATATGCGGTCAAGACACGTAATCTCTCCTGTGAATGATGGAAAGGTTGCGCCAGGTGGCGGACCGTACTACCTTGAAGAGAGCGGCGCGTATCAAGTCCCACAGCAGAGATTGACAGAGTTGGCTGCATACTTGTCTTGATGAACAGGTCAGGAGTCGTCATGACATGGAGTAGTTAAAGTACCAAAGCACAAGCAGTGGAGGGAGCGATCTCCCTTACAGATACAGGGTCTAAGAAACTGACAAATAGGTCGGGCGCACCTTTGATCAGAGCAGCTGCATCATGATCACGTGCTAAACTCCGCCTTGAAGAGCGTAAAAGAGATGTTTCAATGAAGAGTAAACGAATATAACAACTCTATCTACCATTTAATCATATTTGTGACCTTGTAACGCATCAGCACACTGGACGTGTGCCCATGTTCGCGTTTTTGTTGAGAATTGTTGAGTGATAGCTCGGCAACGAATGCTGTGAGCCGAGCGCGAATAAGTCCTTGGTCGTTGCGCATACGTTTAGCGCAGTTGGGCTTGGGAGACGATCAGCCGATAGAACCCCAGTCATATCGAGTGGAAGATACTGTAAGACAGTATGTTCTACCCACCCTCCCTCGTGGTCAAACCACGTACACTATCGACGCGAGAATATGTGGAGGTCGAGAGTTACAGGATCGCATTGATTCCAGGCGCCTAACCCATGACGTCATCTGTCAGCCTCCCTGTTTGCAACGTCCAAGAACATGAAACGATGTCGCACATGGAAGAAGACACACAGAGCTCGAAGTCCTGCGATCGATACTAACTACCTTTCGTCCATCAGCTCCAGAACAAGAGTGTTCTTGACACTACATTCTTTGTCGCCATGACAGCCCAGACTTGCTCTGATCCTTTGCCTATCACCATCACCGCGCATCTCCGCAATGATAGAAGCAGCTGTCTCGCAGGATATCAGCAGACCGGAATCAAGGGACTGTTGTTGAGGTGCAAAAGAGGGAGGGCAGAAGCAACTGGTAGTGTTGGGACAGTCGGCATACTCCTTTCCACCAGGTGACGAGGCGGAGACATGATCGGGCATTGCGTCATCCGTCTCTCGAGAATAGTTAAGTGCCGTAGGCTCAGCTGGTTTACAGCAGGTAGGTGGTTTCGAGTCCGGTACTACGCTCGGCTCATGCGAAAGGATAGGTGTTGTTACCGTAGCAAGATTCTCTTTCTCTGAATCACACGCTGCGTGCTGTATTGTGCTGACGAAAGAGCGGCGAGGGTCCTGAGACTGTGTGTACGCCAATGCCGAAGGGTGAGGTGGCGAGTGCGCCGGCTGCTGAAACACCGCTTGGGCAGGAGCTTGGACTGGAAGCTGCGTCGGAGTTGGTGCGCGAGCCTGCGAGACAGGCGACGCCATGTACCCAAAAGAGCTTGCTGCTGGGATCGCCAAAACAGGTGGCCTCGATACTGGTAAAGCATAGCGATTCGCGGACGAATGGTTCGGAGTGCTCGCAGCATCAAACGAGCGCAAATACGCCTCTATCTCCTCGTGTGCGACACCGCGACTGGATAACAGACTTCTCAAGCGTGCATTCTCATCGGCAACTTTGCGCGCAGCGCGCTGCATCTCCTGCGTTGCTGCGATTCCTTTGGCCTCATACTCCTGAACGCGACGCTGCAAGTCTTGGATGAGTTCCTTGCGCTGATTACGCGAGCGTCGCTGATTCTCCCGGATCCGGATGGAGGAGGGCGTGTCACTACCCTAAGCACTGCTTAGTCATGTCTTGCCCCCGGGTCTTTATTCACGATTGGGACAAACCTTTTTCGACATCATGCATCCACTGTGGTGTAGGATTCGCGATATGCATGCAGGAACTGAGGGTGATGCCGCGTGGAGCGGGTGGGGTTTTCCCGGAGCCCCCGACAACAGCGCTAAGCCCTAATGCAGGTCTAGTGGTTTTCTGCACCACCGAATGCATATCACTACAATATGTAGAGCAGTCTTGATGTTAAGCTTTACAGGAAGTACTAAAGTAGAACTTAATTATTATATAGTATAAATGAAAATAGAAGTTAATAGAATTTTTGCGAAAAAAGGTGAAAAGTAAGAAAAAAACTATAAGATAGTAGTTAAGAAGTATTTTTTTTGAAAGTAGAGAGACTTATTAATAAGTAGCTATTAAATATACTTATGTATATAAATTAAAGCTTAATTGCGTAAATAAAGTAAGAGAACTAGGAAGAAGTAATTAACAATAGTTTTTATTTAGTGTTTTAAGGCTTCTACTATTATAAGTATACTACTATTTTATTATATTTATTTAATATTAGCTTTTTTAAATACTTTATCCTACACTAATCTTTTATAATAAGATTAAGTTAAAAAAATAGTATATATATTAGTAGAACGTAGTTAAATTATTAAGAACTTAAGTTTAATATCTTGTTATTAGTATCTATTAGTAGCGTAAGTATTAAAATTTAATATAACAAAGTAATATAACTTAGTATAATATAAAAAATACTAAAAAAGATATAAACCTTAGTTTATTAGCTAGAATAGATAAATTTAATTACTAATATTACTTAGAATAGTACTGTAGAATATATATAGATATAAAGAATAATAATAATTATATATTGCTATATTATAGTAACAAGCTTTATTATTTATTATTAAATTTTAACTTTTTATTGTAGCTAGACAAATAATACAAAAAAACTATATAAAAATAAAAGTTATATTTTTCTTTCTATATAGTAACTATATGCTTTTGCTCTTATAAAGATACTACAATCTTACTATATTAGATATTATACTACTTACTTATTATCTTTAATATTTTAATATAAGAAAGTTTTTTTTTCTTTCTTTATATAAAGATATAGTTATACTAATTTAGACTATAGCTTTATATTATATCTGCTAAATTTATTAGTAGTATAGATGTTATAATTATTAGATATTTCTTAGTTAAGAAAAATACTTAGAAAAATTATTACTTTAGTTTAAATATATATTATATATAGTTAAGCAAAGTATCTTAGCTAGGCTAATACTATAATACTAGATAAACTTAATATAGTATCTATATAATTCTTTAGCTAAGCTGTAAATAGCTTTAATAGTTCTTAACTTATTAAATACAATAAAAGCTATTTTGAAAACTATTATAAGACTCTAAATTAGCTTTTAATAAGTTTATAGAAATACAAAGTTCTACTATTAAACTATACTATTAAAGTAGTATTATAACTAAGTTTTAGTAGAGAGATAGGTTATAATTCCTAAAAAAAGCTTATAAAACTTAATAATCTAAGTCTTAATAGTATAATTAATATAAGAAAAATACTAATAATACAAAGTACTTATAACTTTATTAAGTTATACTATATTATATTATATTTTAGTAGAAGTATATTCTTATAAAGCTACTTAGCTTTACTATATCTAGCTATAGATATACTAATTCAAAAGTAAAAACTATTATAGCTAAAGCTATAGATTTTATTTAGCTTTAATAAGCTACTATAAAGCTTATAAATAGTTACTATAAAGCTGAATATTATAAGAAGAGTATAGTTTTACTAAAAGTAACTATATTAATAGTAGTTAACTAGAGTTTTAAACTATAAAAGTTAAACTTTAGAAAATATCTAAATATAAACTTAGATATCCTTTCTTTAACTTCTATAATATTATATCTTATCTCTTATATATACTAAGTTCTTATATATTACTATTTGAGAGATAAAAAGCGCCTAGTTATATATAGCCTTATATTTAGCTTAATAATAATAGTAATAAAAACTACAAATACTACTACAACAGCTGCCTGTAACAATAGTAAAAATTAAGTAAAGCTTAGTATAAACTACTCTAAAACGAACTTAAAGTACTAGGTATAAACTTGTATACAGTTATATAGCTTATCTAAGTTAAGTATAAGAAAGCTTAATAATAAGCTAAGTAAAGACTTAGTTAAGCTTAAAGTTCTTTTTATTAAGACTATTCTTATATTAGCTAAAATATATATATATATTTAAAACGTAAAGCTTTTACCTATACTTGTAATCTATAAGTATAGTAGTTATATAATATAGTTATAGCTAATACTGTAAGTACTAAAAAGTAAGATAAATACTTAGAAAAAAACTTATCTAAGAGTCTATATAACAGCTAGCTAGACTATACTTATACTAATATTGAAATTCTAGAATAAGTATAATAATAAGTGATTATAGATACTAGCAAAGTAGTAGATTATTAGTTTACTATCTTTAATAGCTTAAATAATAATAATTAAGAACTATAGACGCGGGACTAGTATAATTGCCTTAAAAGCTTAGATAATAGAGCTATTACTAAGCTATAAGTTTGTATAGCTACTTCGTAGTAATAGTAATTATTATTATAACTTTTATACTAGTAGTACTTATATCTTATATAAAGTAACTAATAAGATATAACAATACTACTACTTAATCTTAAAGTAGTATTAGTAAAAGCTATAATAATAAGTATATCTTATTAAGGTATCAGGTAGCTCACTATATAGAAGTATAGACTTAATATTCTAGACTTATTAACGATAGATATATAGGTATTTTAGGTTTAGGCTTAGCCTATTAAGAGATTTCTAATAATAAATTAAACTATTATATTAAAATATAATAGCGTAATAATACGTAGTATAAAAGCACTATTAACTTACTTTAATCAGCTATATTACGTATAGTGTAGTTGCATATCTTACCTAGACTAGTACTGTAGGACATATAGTAGTAGTAGTATTATATATCTTTTAGTAATTACTATACTCTAAACATTTAAACTAGTACTATTATAGTTATAATTATTATAATTATTATAATAATACCTACTACTAACTCGCTTGAAATACTTATAGCTTAGTAGTGTCTTTAGTATTTAAAGTAAAAGATTTAGTTATACGCCTAGTAAGTCTTGTTATAATATTTACTATCTTATTAAAGTTATAATACTACTTACTTACTATCTTATAATATATACTTTTACTAGCACTTAAATAATATAACTACTATATATTAGCTTGCTATTATACTTTTAGTTGTTTAATAAAAGAATTCTATATAGTTTCTGTACCTATAGCTTAGTTTACTTTGAGGTAAGTATAAAGTACTACTACTTTACTTATTTATCTTACTTAAGGGACAAGAGCTTGTGTAGAATAACTATATCTTTATCTATTTTTTTAGATAATAATATTAATACTATAAATATTAAAAGAAGAATTATATCTTTCTTGATATTTAATAAAAGCTAAATTTATTACGTTATAGACAAGCTAATATAGCTTTATTAAGTCTAGAACTTATACACTTACATACTATTTACTTAGTATTTATAAGTTATCTCTAGATAATTCAAAGAATTATTAGTAGGTATTATTATAGCTAAGATAATCTTTATTTTTAAGTATTTAAAGAGTAAGCGTAAAGTAATAGGAATTTTAGAGTATAGAATCTTAGTCTATATCAAAGATTATCCTTAAAAAATAATTTTTAAAAAATATATTTTAAACCTAATATTTAGATGTCTTTAGGAATTAGGTACTATAACTTAAAAACTTAGTTACTTATTACCACTAATAGTTATATCTAAGAGATCGATACTCCTTTTAAATATTAAGCTATATAGTAATAACAAACAAAGCTGTTTACTAAAATATATAGATACACAAATATCTTTTTTCCTAAAACAGATTTATTGCCTATAGTACTACTTTAAGTAAGATACGCAATTAAACATATTTAATATAGCTCATTAAAGTAGGTTAATAGATTGCTTAAGTGTTTTTTAGTTTACACTAAAGTTATACTTTATAACTATAAAACCTACGCTACTAATAAATTTAAGTAGTATAATATTAAAGTTGAGTTTATATCATAATTACTATGTTCTAGTAAAGAAGAAAACTACTTTCTATTATTTATATATCTTATACTATAAGTATTAAGTAAAGTACTTAAGACAGCTAAAAGTATTAAATTATAATAGAGTATTAATATGCATATAGAAGTAGAAGCATTTAGATAGTAAGTTAAAAAGAATATAATTATAAATAGCTCTAAAATAATTATTCTGAGATCTATAGCGTTAGTTATTTTTAAGAGACTACTATATAGATATCTTTAAAGCAATCTTTAGTAAAGCTAATAGTTAATTAGTATACTTCTATTTAAGTATAATTTAATGTAACTTAATATGCTTATACTGCTAATCTACTACAACTCTGTTAATTACATCGCTACTCTTAGTTTATATAATACTATTATCTATATTAATAAAACTACTCTAGACTTTATAAGCTAAAATAAGAGCTTTGCAAGATTAATCTCTATACTATCTGTAATTAGAAGATCCTTTTAGTTAAGGCTATAGCTAATTTATATAATTCTCTAATATGAATATCTATATTATAGTCTAATGAACTTGCTAACAAAAAGAAGTAGATAGAAGTCTTACTAGTTTTACTAAGTTTATACATATTAAACGTGTAGTCTTAAACACTTAAGTAGCTTTTTATTATATTACTCTAGAAATCTATACTTCTCTACTTGCTTTGTTTCTTCTTATTAGAGCTGCTAAACTATAGCTTATAATGTTAACACTAGAATATAAGGTAGTCTAGAAAATGTATAACATTACTATATAATACAGTTATAACTTATTAGTTGTGTTTTTAAAACATATTATTATTTATAGGTAATAGTAAATAA